CAGTGAATGTCGTTTAATGATATTTCAGCTGTATGACTTGGCTTTGTTTGTTTGTTGTTTAACGCTTTAACGCTCACTCAGCAATATTCCAGCTATGTGGCGGCGGGTTGTAAATAATCGAGCCTGGACCCGACAACCCAGTGATCAATATCATGAGCATCGATCAACGCAATTGGGATACGATGTGTCAACCAAGTCAGCGAGCCTGACCACCCGATCCCGTTAGTCGCCTCTTACGACAAGCACGGGTTGCTGAACATCAGTTCTAATCCGGATCTTCACGGGTGTCAGCTGTATGACTACAGCACGTGAACAGGCGAGTCTGCACAAGAGGAATCAGTTTGGGGCTAGGAGACTTGCGTGTGTGCATGTGCGTGTGCGTGCGCGCGCGCGTGTGTGTGCACGCCCGATAACAGACTTAAACTGATCAAATGATTGCATTACTTGAAGGTCATCTCCTTAATAACTAAGTGCTTCATTAAGTCTTTCGTCTCTCTGACTGTAATTTGAACCACAGGGGATTGTATTGCTGAAAATAATACGTCCTGGGTCATGCATTCGTTCACTGATATCCATATACATATAAAGAAGGTTTGTTTCATGTACAATGTATATGGATATCAGTGAACGAATGTAGGACCCAGGGCGTATTATTTTCAGCAATACAAGCCCCTGTGATTTGAACATATATCGCAACGTTTACAACATGCGGTACAGCTGGCACACCACTGATGTGGTATACACGTCTAATGAAAATCATTTTAAGTACAATTACATCATTTTAAATACAATTACATCATTTAACAAACATCTGTTCACTGGTTAATAAAAAAGTCTATACACTGGGTCACTATATCTGCTTTCTGTCAGAGCTGACAGGGCGGTAGGGTAGCGTAGTGGTTAAAGTGGGGCGGTGAGGTGGCCTAGTGGCTACGCCGAAGACCCGGGTTCGATTCCCCACATGGTTACAATGTGTGAAGCCCGTTTCTGGTGTCCCCTGCCGTGATATTGCTAGAATATTGCTAAAAGCGGCGTACGTAAACTAAACTCACTCACTAGTGGTTAAAGCAATCGCTCTTCACGCCGAAGACCCCGGTTCGATACCCCATACGGCTACAGTGTGTGAAGCCAATTTCTGTCACCCCCTTTGAATGTGCAGAATTGCTAAAAGCGGCGTAAAAACATATTCACTCTGACAGGTCTGACGTATACTCGTCTTATCAGCGGAGAAGATTATTGTCAACGGAATCTTCAGTGAAAACCTGTCAATCCGGAATACCCAGATGATAAAACTCTATATATACACAAACAGACACGCCACTCCCTGTCCCTATTCCAGCAATATCAGAGCGGGGGACACGAGAATATTCCAGTTGACGTCGGTCTGTAAAGGATATGGAGCCTTGATCAGACAAACTTGTGGTTGACATCATGTGTATCGATCCACACAATCGGATCGATATCCAGTCAATCAACCCCCGACCCTGACAGCAAAGACAAATGGATCGGACATAACTAGGTTGTCATCTCTAATAATAGGCATATGTTACATTGTATAACATAGTGACTGGGTTTAGTTTTACGCCGCTTTTAGCAATATTCCAGCAATATCACGACGGGGGGGCTCCGAAATTGGCTTCACACATTGAACCCATGTGGAGAATCGAACCCGGGGGTCCTGCGTAACGAGCGAACGCTTTAACAGCTAGGCCACCCCACTGCATAATATAGAAACAGAGAGATGTACACACGAAAACAATATACATGTATACGAATCGGGTAATTAAAAAAATGCAGATTTTTCAACTGAATGGAGAGCACATTTGTTTTGCATTTAGAGCTGTGGACTCGATGAAATTGAAGACAAGGGGCGTCATCATATATGATGATTAATCATCAACAATATATAATAATTAAACAGCGCACAGCCCGTATGACTAATGCAAGTCGTAACAACTCTGTTGACACAGAATAGAGAGAGCAGCTGGACCAGCACACAACCGAAAGAAGGCGTGGCTACTTTGCATTCCTTGCCTCGCCTCCGCGTTGCCTTGGGAAGTCAGATCGCATGCATGTCAGCTTCTCAATTAAAATATTTTTACGTCGGCTGTTCAAAAAATCATTTGATCAATCTAATCACATGTCGGGCAGCAACTTGACTGAACAACAAACCACAAACACTAGCCCAACATTTGTATATGACACTGCACATGGCAACGACCGTTAATGTTATAAGCGACATGGTCACGTGACCGTCCGTCAGAAGCATTTCGTTCCGGTATTTTTCGTTTGTAGTTGAGGGAGAAGTGTTAGGTTATTAAAGGAAAATGGCCATATTTACTGACAGGTTACCGGATAACCCTAATCTAGATATTCGCTATGGCTATTCCATGATGATATCGACCATAGTCTTCTTTTTTATTGTCAACCTAGTGATCAGCTTCGTCGGTGCACCCAAATCTGTTCGAGACGATGTGTGGAAATGGAGAAACTTACTTGTTTCGTGGGTACATGCTTTGATTTGCTCCGTGTGGGACCTGAGCAGGTAAGATCGGACAAGTCTTGGCCGCTTTTGTTTGTGCTGCCATTTCAGATATAAGTTCCCTCTGTTCTATAGGTTTCTCAACTTCTGTTCGTCAGTCGACGGTATCGATTGTCGGATGCAACAAGTTCAGTCGAAGCGTGAGCTAAGTAAACTTCACGACTGGCCTTTATCAAATACAATCAGTTGCATTGTAATATCCGTAAGCTGTTCCTTAAAATGTTATATGATTATTGACCATTGCTATAATAAGCATGTCCATGATTATATTTTGCATCATACGAACCAAATATTTATAAAAAACGCGCACCTGAAATCGGGCCAAAGAACAGGAAGTCGATTTGAAACCACTTTGACAGGTGTATAATTTACTTGGGTCATCTAGAGTGTGGATATATAAGGTAAATAGTTTATGAACGCCAAGGGCCTCGCTAAATAGATAAATAGAATGATTAACTGCTTGACAGGTTTCTTTGTATCAGCGATCGCTGATCAATGACTTGAGGATTTTCAGTAGTATTTAATATGAGTCAATATAGACAGGTAGTTAAATGAGTAGATCTGTGTTGTTGATATATGTTGGTATTGTAAATATGTTGGATGTGATACAGTTGATATATGTTGGAAGTGATACGGATGATATATGCTGGTAATGATATCGATGATATATGTTGATAATATTGATATGGGTGATAATTGATATACAGAACCGTAACCTAAATTCGTGGATATAGCCTTGATTCATGGATCACGATAATTGCCATACTATCTCGTAAATTAAGTCTTTATGACGTCACGAAGCAGTACATTTGATGTACACACAATGCCACGCCTCCTCGCTGAGAAAAATGTTCTGAATCTCTGCATTGCACGTGAATACAATAAATCTAATTGTCCAGCACTGAGATAAATAGACCAAGATCACTGATGCCACTATAAAACCAAATTTTTATTTTTACAAAATGTCAAGGACAAAAGTTACCGTTAGCACCACCCTTCTCACATCTCGTCTGCTTTCCCAGTGTCAATACTTACTGCAATGGGATGTCGTACATAGTGATGTATTGTCACCGACTATGTTATTTACGAAAGAAGGTGACATCACATTTTGTGTGCACACGAATGGGTGATGCTTGCAAATGACTTCGGTAAACAAACGTTCATTCACGAGTGAAATATTAGGCATTTTCAATTTGCTGAATCAGTGAATTTAATAGTCAATGAGTATACAAAATGAAATCGTGCATTTAAACTATGATTTTCACCGCACTTCCCTCATATCAATGAATCAAGGTTATGTGAGTGTACAGTGTTTAAACTAGAACAAAATGCCAGGCTGCCATTAGGACTTAAGACTGCAAATAAAATGACGTTTAAATTTATTGCAAGCCATAAAGAAAATAACAAATCTATAATTATTGGTTTGACACATAATCTACTTGCAAACGGTCATGCCCTTAATAATTAATTTGAAGCACACGTTGCATGTATGTCATAACTGCATGTCATTATCATTAGATGTTGATTTTAAAATTTAACTTGTTCAATTTACAAATTTATATACAATTAGTATCATGTATCATTGTTATGCTTTAATAATTTCCCCCTGTGATTCTAGGAGTGAGTGAGTTTAGTTTTACGCCACACTCAGCAATATTCCAGATATATGGCGTCGGTCTGTAAATAATCGAGTCTGGACCAGACAATCCAGTAATCAACAGCATGTGCATCGATCTGCGCAATTGGGAACCGATGACATAAGTCAACCAAGCCAGCGAGCCTGACCACCCGATCCCGTTAGTGGCCTGTTACGACAAGCATGGGTTACTGAAGGCTCATTCTAACCCGGACATTCACGGGTGTGATTCTAGGAGAGAACCTACCCTGTTTGCAAGAGGAATCTTGTCAGAATCAGAGACTTGCATCAGAACTTGTCATTGTACCCTAAAACATAAATTATAGACATAATATGATTAATAGTAGTCAGTGGACCGTTTGGTCCAGACTTGATTGTGTTCAGTCTCTGATACATAAATTATAGATATAGTGTCATAGTGTCGTTTGGTCCAGATTTGATTGTGTTCAGTCCCTGATACATAAATTATAGATATAGTGTCATTGTGTCGTTTGGTCCAGACTTGATTGTGTTCAGTCCCTGATACATAAATTATAGATATAGTGTCATTGTGTCGTTTGGTCCAGACTTGATTGTGTTCAGTCCCTGATACATAAATTATAGATATAGTGTCATTGTGTCGTTTGGTCCAGACTTGATTGTCTACAGTGAGTGAGTTGCATTTTATGCCACTGGTAGCAATATTCCATTAATATCATTATCACGGGACAGCGGATGTGTTTAAACACATTGTATCTGTGTGGGTTTCTGACGTGATGAGCAACTGCTTTAACCATTGCAATTTGCACCCACCATTGATTGTGTACAGAATGCAGTTGGATAGCTGGATTATTTCTCAATTTCTTTCTCTAATCAAAGATCCAAGGTCATCCTATTGCAGATTATGTTACAATAACCTTTCATCTGACCGATCAGAGTGTTGTCTAATGGTAAGGTCTGACTCTGATAAGGGTATATCAGATATGAGAAACCCAGAGTATATTGAACCATCTCTTTGGTTCACTTAGTTTGAGACAATAAAATTCGACTGTAGTACTCTACCAAAATTACTACTTATTCCAGTGACTGCCTCCGTGGTGTAGTGGTTAGAGCGTCCGCCCGGAGAGCGGAAAGTTGCGGGTTCGATCCCCGACTGCGTCATACCAAAAGACGTTAAAATATGGTACTTGTTGGTCCCTGCCTGGTGCTCGGCATTAATGGGTACAACAAGGACTGGTCGGCTCGGGAGTCAGTATAATGTGTCTGAGTGGGGTATTCATGCTTCACTGCGGCATGGTATCTCAGTGGGCTAGCACTATAAAACCAGCTTAAGTCTGGGCTAGTACAAGCAGCCTCACATAAATATACACACGCATGCACATCGTCATATGAGCGAAATATTCTCAAGCACGACGTTAAACCCACTTTCACCTCACCTCACCTCACCTCACCTCACTTATTCCAGTAGAGGCAGTATGGTAGCCTTGTGGTTAAAGCTCATCATGGTGAAGATTTGAGTTCATTCCCCATATATGTACAATGTGTGAAGCCCATTTCTGGTGTTCCCTGCCATGATATTGCTGAAATATTGCTAAAAGAGGCGTAAAACCATATTCACTCACTCGCTTTTTCCAGCAAAATACAACTGAGGTGCTGTAGTTTACTGTGCAGAGTTACCTACCTTAGACAAGCCAGGATCCTATGATCCTGAATTTGCTTTAACTTTGATACTTGGTTTGTCTGCACCTTTGAATCTTTGCAAACATCACAATCTGGGAGAGTAGGAATTACCATTTGCAGTGGACCCGTGAAGATACGGGTTAAAATTGGTCTACAGCAACCGATGCTTGTCGTAAGAGGCTACTTACGGGATTGGGTGATCAGGCTCGCGGACTTGGTTGACATATGTCATCGTACCCCAATTGCATAGATCGATTCTCATGCTGCTGATCACTGAATTGTATGATCCAGACTCGATTATTTACAGACTGCTGCTATATAGCTGGAATATTACTGAGAGCGGCGTTAACCAACCAACCAACCATTTGCAGCAGAAAGGGCCAGGTATTCCATTGAACAGATAGCATTGGGCATGGGGGCACATTACACAGTCCACATTGAATCTGACACTGGCACTGTAGTCGATCACTTTAGTGTATTAATTGTGATATATTAGCTTTCCATGATGTTTAGTCATTAGTTTCCATGCTGTTTCCTGATGTCAAGCTGTGCAGTTAACCACTATGTAATTGTTCCATATGTTTACAACTAACACCTTGCATATTGGAAGGCAACAAACGCACACGACTGGATTCAGGTCACGTGATCAGCAGGGTTTGTAAGTCATGTCTACACGCACTAATACATGTAGGATATGGTCCGAAAAATCACTTTTGTTTTTGCATTTAGTGGTGAATGCCTCCAACCAGCTCCATGTGCAAACATATTCGCAACCTTTTGGACCATATACAACTGAGGTGGCGGGGTAGCCTAGTGGTTAAAGCATTCTCTTGTCATGCCAAAGACCTTGGTTCAATTCCCTACATGGGTACAATGTGTGAAGCCCATTTCTGGTGTCCCCATTGGTTGAAATATATGTGTAACGCCCCAGTCTGAAAATTGGACACACTGTGGTATTGCTAGAGTATTGCTAAAAGTGGCATAAAACTAAACTCAATCACTCACCATATTCAACTTGAACAAAATCCTTTTAAAAATACAAGGATAACTAATGTAGTAGGTGTAAAATGGAGGTGCACAGACACTGGACAGTCTCTTTGATTTTGTTGAAAGTCAACAGGAATCATGTTAGTGTTAGCTTGTTTCTGTAGCATCAAAATCATGTGCAGTCAAAATTACGTCTTGAAATAGAAGTGTACATCATTGTCACTATTCTCTCAAAAGATGTTTTCTGTCTGTGACTTTTATTATGATTTAAAACAAAGTCAGACGATTGTTTGCTGAAGATTGGTCATGTGCATTCAATATGAAAGCATCTAATAGTCTGAATAATGAACAGGAGCTTTCCAAAAGTATTCAAATAAAGTTCACCCTCCAATAGTCTGAATATTGAATAGAAGCCCTCAGTCAAATAGTATTGAACCAAAGTTCACCCTCCAATAGTCTGAATATTGAATAGAAGCCCTCAGTCAAATAGTATTGAACCAAAGTTCACCCTCCAATAGTCTGAATATTGAACAGAAGCCCTCAGTCAAATAGTATTGAACCAAAGTTCACCCTCCAATAGTCTGAATATTGAACAGAAGCCCTCAGTCAAATAGTATTGAACCAAAGTTCACCTTCTCAATAGTCTGAATATTGAACAGAAGCCCTCAGTCAAATAGTATTGAACCAAAGTTCACCCCTCAGTCCAATAGTCTGAATATTGAATAGAAGCCCTCAGTCAAATAGTATTGAACCAAAGTTCACCCTCCAATAGTCTGAATATTGAATAGAAGCCCTCAGTCAAATAGTATTGAACCAAAGTTCACCCTCCAATAGTCTGAATATTGAACAGAAGCCCTCAGTCAAATAGTATTGAACCAAAGTTCACCCTCCAATAGTCTGAATATTGAAAGAAGCCCTCAGTCAAATAGTATTTAACCAAAGTTCACCCTCCAATAGTCTGAATATTGAACAGAAGCCCTCAGTCAAATAGTATTGAACCAAAGTTCACCTTCCAATAGTCTGAATATTGAACAGAAGCCCTCAGTCAAATAGTATTGAACCAAAGTTCACCTTCCAATAGTCTGAATATTGAACAGAAGCCCTCAGTCAAATAGTATTGAACCAAAGTTCACCCTCCAATAGTCTGAATATTGAACAGAAGCCCTCAGTCAAATAGTATTGAACCAAAGTTCACCCTCCAATAGTCTGAATATTGAAAGAAGCCATCCACTACTTCACTCTTGATAAGTGTCATATTATGTTTCTCAGAATCCATCATGGCATTAAGTATTTAGTTGGTCAAACTGCTGATTTGATCCTTGAAACTACTATTTGCAACACTTTGGGGTTGGCATCTCTGGTTCATAACTATGATAACAGAAAAGTGCTTGACCATTGTTAGCTGGAATTTAGTGGTATATAACTGTTTGCCATCAGGTTGTTCCTGCACTAAATTCTCCCCTGCTGTGTCTGATGTTGGGTGTTTTTGTTCCAGTTTTATCCTGTACCCGGAGATGTTCAAGGACCTGCTCGTGTACAGCAACTACTACCAGTACTACTTAGTGGCCTTCTCCACAGGTAAACATGCACATTGAGTATTTATGTCGGTCAGAGATGACCTACCTACCTGAAGCACACATGGCACACATGCTGCTACCTTCAGTTTGTTCAAAATTTGTCTTAGTTCTTGCATCGGTGGACCGCCTCCATGGTGTAGTGGCTAGAGCGTCCGCCTGTTGAGCGGAAGGTCACGGGTTCCATGCCCGACCGCGTCATACCAAAAGACGTTAAAATATGGTACTTGTTGGTCCCTGCCTGGCGCTCAGCATTAATGGGTACAACACGGACTGGTCGGCTCGGATTCAGTATAATGTGTCTGAGTGGGGTATTCATGCTTCACTGAGGCATGGTATCTCAGTGGGCTAGCACTATAAAACCAGCTTAAGTCTGGGCTAGTACAAGCAGCCGCATATACACACATGCACGTCGTCATATGAGCGAAATATTCTCAAGCACGACGTAAAACCCAATTTCACCTCACCTCACCTTGCATCAGTGAATGGGTACCCAGTGGGATAAGATGGTCTTATGACTGTTGACATTCTAGTGCCTCACAGCTTGGGTTAATTGGGTTTGTTCAGATTGTTCACAAGTGCCTCTGTTCACCCAGCAGTGAATGGGTACCTGGTGGGATGTGATGGTCTTATGGCTGTTAACCTTCAAGTGCTTAAAGTGGCCTTCACACGACAAACTAAAGTTTGACAACGCATAATGTCAAACTCGAGTTTGAGAGTGAACATTCCAACTACTCGCCACCAACACCATTTTCAGAGTTGTCAAACTGTTGTCGAGAAATAGAATCGGCGTCTATTCTCACAAACTTTTCCATCAAACTTTCAAACTTGTCAAACTCGAGTTTGACGTCTGAAGTGTTGTCAAACTCGTGTTGTTCAGAAACAACCAATCACAGTCAACGAAATTGTCATTCAGTGACCGCACTGATAGAGACATGGCGCTCAACACGAAAGTTTGACAACCTGTGTTTTACGTTTAAACATTTTAACATTTCAACAACATCTGTTGTCAAACTTTAGTTTACCATGTGAAGGCCACGTAACAGGCAGCTTGGGTTAATTGGGTTAATAATGTCTGTGTTTTGCGCATATTTTGTCCTTGAAGTCACTGAGCATCTTTGAGGTGGATATTAGGCACCACTGTTCTGTTTCATGTGCGAAACAGCTCTTTATTTCTTACCCATCTATCGACTAAACCTAGTCTGGTGGTTTATTTTCTTGCGTAATTTATATAAATGACCAGTCTAAAAACTATTATCCGGTTTGGACCAGTTTGCAGGTTTCAGGCGGCATTGCCGAATATTCAGGAATCCTCATCATTTTGAGTAATATAGGAGTAACACAGCAACGAGCGATTTTTTACCCTCAACCTTCACCACCTCCTCCACCTACCTTTAACATCTTGTAAATAAAAGGGTTCGCTATCCACAATAACCACTTTACGAATGTATCATATATTATATTATATACCAGTATTAAGCATGCAGTCAAGCACCATTGTGTGAAGTTGAATGGACCTACGTTAACGTTTTGTGATGTTCAACTCATTTCAAAATAGACTACAGAAGTAATATGCTTTTACTTTGTGTCAACTGTTGTGTTGAAGTTGAAGGTGGGGGTAGCCTAGTGGTTAAAGCATTTGCTTGTCAAACTGAAGACCCAGGTTCAATTTTCCACATGGGTACACAGTATTGTTGGAAATTGCTAACAACAGCGTAAAACCATACTCACTCACTCAGAGTTGACCAGCATAAATATATCAAGTTATTTCAAATATTCTACACAACACAACTGAAAGTGGAATATGACCAAGCTTTTACTTAAGGAAGACTAAATTGTCACATCAAAGTTCATTGTTTGATTGTAAACACAACTTACAAGGAAAGAAGGAAACCCCCAAACACGACTTGATCCAATTTGTTTCATCCTAATGGACCAGGAGTCTTTCAACGTAAATGATGTCGAGAAAGGAGGATTTACACTGGCTATACAAGATAGTGGAAACTAGGGCTGCAACGAATACACTATGTGGCGAATATGATACGTATCATGAATATTGGGTAACGAATACGAATAATTATTCAGAAATACAATATTGTAGTTAAGTGATTGATGTACAATATGGAACGCCCATAATATTGTCACTGCAATAATCAGTGATCTCATGACACTCAAATTTGGTATGTAATAGTTATAATCGACAGTACCATGTGCAGTCTTGGCAAACTAACATGACTTGCACTACTGCAATGCTAGTACGTGTTCCATTCTTGCATATCTCTCTTTGGAAAGGACATAAGGGTTCAAGTAAAACTTGCTATCTTAAAAAAATCGTAAATATTCGTTAATATTCGGTTCTGGTGACCACGAATAAAGAATTGAATTCATGAAGGGCTACGGTTCGATTCACTGAATATGCGAGTGAATCGTTACAGCCTTAGTGGAAACTGCCATGTGTTTTTAACTCCCTTGAATCTAAATTATTGGATTTAGCAAGTTTAGCTAGAAGAAACCAGGAATCCAGAATGTCCAGGAGGTGGCAAGCAAGGGTGCTCAAGGTGTATTCTGCCACAGAATCCTTTCGTGTGGGAATGGAAATGGAAAAGTAGGGTGCATGGGTCTACCTGGGTTCCATTCTGATCCAGGAATCCTTAGGTGGTTATTGTAAGGAAGTATGGTCGCCTGGATCTACCTGGGTCCCAGTCTCACCCAGAAGTCCTCTTGTCTTTGTGCCAACTGATTACTTACAGTCATGCAAAAACCAACAAGGTCAAAGCTATTTGTCTGGGACGCACTGACTGATCAATATGTTAGGTAATCAATACTGATACTATCGCATGTTAAAACATTTTGCCAATGTAACACCAAGGTTTTGTTTTACCAGCCATGGTGACAGTTGTTGTAGCAACAAAACCCAACTGGCGTGTCATTCATTACTCCAGGCAGTGCACACAGCCTGTTTCTACCATATTGCTGACCATGCATAAGATAGTAATAACGACTATAACCTTGGGGTACCATGGATCTGCGATTACGATCATGCAATGGTTGAGAAAATAACTGAGTTTTTTAGTTGTCATAATGTTACACCAGATTGCCTGAGCAGTGTTGTTGGAAATCCCACATCTGACATAGCATTAGGGCCTAATGGTATAGAACAATGTTATTGGAGACTGTTTCACTGCATCCAGCCGCCTCTATTGACTTGGCTGCTATGTGGGTGAAATATTGCTGAGTGTGGCGTAAAACTAAAGTCACTCTATTGCCTAGGGGAGGTGGGGTAGCCTAGTGGTTAAAGCGTTCGCTCATCACGCTGAAGACCTGGGTTCGATTTCCAACGTGTGTACAATGTGTGAAGCCCATTTGTGGTGTCCCCCGCCGTGATATTGATGGAATATTGCTGTGAGTGAGTGAGTGAGTTTGGTTTTACGCGACTTTTTGCAATATTCCAGCAATATCACGGCGGGGGACACCACAAATGGGCTTCAAACATTGTGCCCATGTGGGTATTGCTAAAAGCGGCGTAAAACTAAATTCACTCACTCACCCTATTGCCAAATTTCGAAATGTTTTTCAATAGCTCTGTAAATGTCGCACAAATGCTCCCTCCTAAAAAAAGACAGAAAAAAAATTCTGCCCTAAAAGCCTGTTTGAATACATGGCAAATGGCAAACCTTGTGTCATTGTACTGCTCTTTGAACAAGAAATGATTTTGGAAGAGGCTGAAACATCGTACCTCTCCATGAGCGGGATTGACTGCAAAAAATTATATGACCAGGGTTTTATGGAATGTGCGCCCACTAGGCACAAATGTAAGGAATAGACACAGAGGGACGCACAATATTTTCACTGTACCCACACGTCTTTGCTATGTGTTTGGTTGTTTCTTTCAGAGCAGTTACATGCATCATTTCACTCATCAGTCAATATGATCAATGATTCATTCCAGGCTCTACATGCTCTAAAGAAATTATCAAACGCATAGCCTCTACACTGTTACTTAATAGTACCCTCATATTGCCTGCAAGGACCCTAAAACTAATAGACCGCCTCTGTGGTGTAGTGGTTAGAGTGTCCACCTCGAGAGCCTGGTTGCGGGGTTCGATCCCGTAATCATTAAAATATGGTACTTGTTGGTCCTTGCCTGGCGCTCGGCATTGATGGGTACAACAAGGACTGGTCGGCTCGGAGTCAGTATAATGTGTCTGGGTGGGGTATTCATGCTTCACTGCGGGATGGTATCTCAGTGGGCTAGCACTATAAAACCAGCTTCGGTCTGGGCTAGTACAAGCAGCCGCACATACACATACACACGCATGCACGTCGTCATATGAGCGAAATATTCTCAAGCACGACGTAAAACCCAATTTCACCTCACCTCACCTTAAAACTAAAAATTAGGGGTTCCCAGGACCTTTAGTCATGTTTGTGAGTCGGGATAGACCCCTGATATGACTGCCTTGTGAATGGATTCTGAAGTTTCTTCATTGTACTGACCTGCTTGCATGGTTACTTTATTTATTAACGTCTTTAATGAGTTGCTAGTCAACTCAACTTGAGATGTACTCGATAGGGCAGGTGGAGACCTGAGTGTCTTTACCAGTCAGATATATATGGAATATTCCAGGGAGATTCATTTAGTCCTTTGCTTATTTGTGTGTCTGTAAATCACTGAGCTTTCTGCTCAATGGAGAGGAGGGTTACCATCCCAGACCTCCTCAGCACAGATCCCCAACACCGCTTTCTCATCTCCTTATCTTAATCATGTTAATGACATCGAGCTCCTTGCGTTAGGAGACACCTATTTGAAAGAACAGTTTTTCCTTGTTGAGTCCTTTTGAGATAGGTATGACATGGAATACTCTTTAACTGAAACGCTGTCCACCCGGACTGTTGAAAATTGAAATTTTATAAATTCGATGTTTCGGGTATTACGTAAGGAGGTAGTTCAGCGTTCACACTATTGCGTTCGACGCTCCAGGCATTAAGGAAAACAAAATACAT